CATCATTTTCCTTGTTTCAGTGGTAGCATCAAGAAATGTCTTTGAGAAGACTTGTTCTTTTTTTTTTTTTTTTTTTTTTTGTTGGCCGAACTTGTTTGATCCATTTCTGAAATGGCAAACTCCTCTTTAGCTGGCCTAGAACTTGGTTGGCCTCAAACTCACAAAGATCCACCTGCCTCTGCCTCCCAAGTGCTGGAATTAAAGGCATGTGTTGCTTCCTTTAATTAGGGGATATTTGGACACTAAGATCTGAGTGCGAGTTCATTTGAGACTGCGATTGATTACCTACAAACTAAGCTACACATCTGGGTAAATAAACATGAACTCATACTGAAGCCTCCAATTTAGGAGCAAAAGTACAGGCTTTATTCTAGCAAGTCATTAAAACCATCACTACTGAAGTGTCTGATTAATAGGTTTCATTGTAGTTTCATATATAATTATAGTTGTACCTCACTCCTAGTCAACCTCTCATTACTCTCACGTCCCTTTCTCTCTCCCACTGCACACTTCCTTCCTTCAAATAGTCCACTCTCTTCTTTCATGTCATATGTAAATATATTTAAATACAGATTCTGCATGAGAGAAAACGTGGTATCTGTACTTCCCATTATCCTTTCTTTTGCCCCCCCCGCCCCTTTAGGTTTCATTCCCCCCCCCCACAGTATGCTTTCTCCTTCCATGTCCTGTATGTATGTGTTATTAAAAGTAAATCTAGATTCTGCATATGAGAGAAAATGTGGTATTTATCTTTCTCAGTCTGGCTTGTTTTGCTTAACATAATGATGTACAGTTCCGTTCATTTCCTGCAGGTGGCATAATCTCACTCTTCTGTATGGCTGAGTAAATCTTCAGTGCATGTATGTGCATTTTCTTTATCTATTCATCTGCTGATGAGCATTTAGGCTGGTTCCATATTTCAGCCATGGAGAATAGAACTGTAATAAATATGGGTACACAAGTATTTTTGTGGTATACTTAGATTTCATATATACTCAGGAGTGGTATAGCCAGATCATATCATAGTTCTGTTTTTAGATTGTTGGGGACCCTCCATAGTGATTTCCACAGAGGTTGCACCAGTTTACATTCCCAGCCACAGTGTATTTGGGTTACCAGGATTGTTGTTTTCTTTTATTTATTTTAATTTTTCATACATGATCTCATGTTGCCCAAACTGGCCTTGAACTCTCGAACCTTCACCTCTGAGTACCACCATGCCCTGGTTTGCTTGTTTTCTTGATGCCCGTAATTCTGACTACGATGAGCTGCAATGTCAACTGGCATTTCCCCGACATCTAAGGATTTTGAACTTTAAAAAATTTAATTATTGGTCATTATTCTTTTGAAATTTTTTTTTTAATTTTTAATCCTTTTAAAACAGGGTCTCCCTGTAGCCACAGCTATAGAGACTATGTTGGCCTCGATCTCATAGAGATCTGCCTACTTCTGCCTCCCAAGTGCAGGGATTAAAGGTGTGCACCACCACATCCATATTCTTCTCTTTAAAAAATATTCAGAGGCAGAGGCAGGGGGATCTCTGTGAGTTCAAGGCCAGCCTGGTCTACACAGTGAGTTCCAGGACATCTGGGACTTACAGGAAGACCCTGCTTCAAAAAGAAAAAAAAAATTCAATTAATTTTCCCATTTATTGCTTAGATGATTTCTGGTGTTTTGGGGTTCTTTATGTAGATATTGATCCACTGTCATAACAGTGGATCAATAACAGGCAAAGATTTCTCTCCTATCCTATGGACTTCTCTTTGCTCCAATGATTGCTTTCTTTGCTGTGAACATTTTTTGCTTCATGTATTCCCATTGTCAATTCTTTGTGTGGGTATGTGTGTGCACATGCATGCACAAATGCACACATGCCCATGCCCATGCAAAGAGGCTTGAGGAAGCCCTCAGGTGTCCTGCTCTATCACCCTCCACCTTATTGTCTTTTATTTCTTTCTTTTTATGGGGCTTTTGGCTAACATCCCCTCTCTGAAGAGGTAACCCTAAAATTTTTAAGGGTTAGATACAAGCTCCCAAATACTTTTGACATTTTTTGCCTTTGAAACAGAGTATGTTGCTAAGCGGACCAAAGACATTATGACTTTTATCCAAGAAACTGGCTACATTTCTTTGGGGTCTTTTTACCCTAACTGCCTAGCCAATTCCTACTTCCTATCCTTATCACACCATCCTCTGAAGAGGTTACCCAACTCATATTTTTAGTTTGAGGATTTTATCAGCTTAGTTATTACAATACTTTCTATTTCTTTTTAAAAAACTACCCAGATTGTAATTTTTATCGCTAGAAGTTCAATTAGGGCATAGGTGAAGGCATACTGGGGCTGTACAATAGCAGAAAAATAATGGAGTGCCTCTTGGTGCCTGGGAATGGGAGAGGTTCAACTTCGTATGAAGGCCTGGATGCCCAGGACCACAGATGGAGTGAGGACAACAGCTGAACCTCAGGGGTTGGTGGGAAGTCTGTCCAATCAGTCCTCCCAAGCTCAGAATCAGCAAATAACAGAGGCCTCTACAGTTCCCACCATAAAAGGCAAAGCCTCTACCTTGTACAACCTGGGATCTCAGAGGAAGGGACTATAGGGAATGTAGTCAAAGAAGACTGAAAGTGCTACCCAGCATCAGCAAGACCTCCATGCTCTGCTCCATCAGCCTATGGCCAGAGGAATGCGGGGCTGTGGCTCACGGGAGAGGTCCAAAGCTTCCGGCTCATGGGAGGGGACTACAGCTCCAGGTTCTTGGGAAGGGACCTCAGCACCAGCTCACAGAAGGGGGCTACAACTCTGGATTTCCAGGGGGTGGGGTGGGGGTGGGGCATGAAAATTTTTTCTTTCTGATAGTCAAATTCAAAGCCTTGTGCATGATGGCTGAGCATTCTACGCTGGAACTACACCCCGCAGCCCTGAAAACTGTTTATTGTGGGTTACAAATTAGTTTAAAGGCCATCAGTGCACAGTGGGAAGATGCCCACATATTGGAATATACCCACCTGTGTCTATCAAGCTGGGTGCCTTGCCCACACCTACTCTGGGTCTTCCTTAGCTGTGGTCCTTGGGACTATCTCTGGATAACTGAAAATTTCTGACCTTGTATGAGGAAAGTATAAAATATAGATGACAAAACACCATTATACTATTGTTCAATTTTAAGGACTATAAATAACTTAAAAGCATTACTAATATCATAGGCTTACTCAAATACTTTTTAGTATCTTCTGTAACATTCTATGCAGAAGGTGGAGAATCAAAAGCTCTTTCCTGAGGAAGGTTCTGGGGAAAGGAAGATTGCATGTGGTACTGCCATGAACACAAGTAATTTCAATTTTTCATTTTCTCCACATCACTTAAAAATTTTTATGTGTTTGTGTGCTCCCCTGTATGAGTTTATGTGTACCACATACAAGTAGGAGCCCCCAGAGGCCAGAAAAGGGTGTCAGATACCCTGGAACTGAAGTTACAGGCAGTTGTGAGCTACCCAATGAGAGTGCTGGGAACTGAACTCTGGTCCACTGCAAGAGCAGTAAGTATTCTTAACTGCTGAGCTCCCAGATCATTTTTGCGGAAGAACTGCTCATTTAACTTTCTAGGAATGGTAACCTTCACTAATCACCATAAGAAAGGTGATGTGGCTTATCTCTATTGGAGGGACATCTAAAGAGTGAGTCTCAGCATGTCAACTGCTATGTGGCACATCTTATCTACCTGAGGGACATCTAAAAGAGAGCCTCAGCGTGACGTCAACTGCTATTACAGAAATCATGTATATCATTATTTTTGCCCAAATCCTCCCAACTTATTTGTTTTGGTCCTTTTGAGACAGGGTCTCCCTGTTGCTCCAGGTAGCTAGCCTGGAACTCCTTGTGTAGATCAGGCTGGCCTTGATCTTAGAGATTCACCTGCCTAGGTCTCCTGAGTGCTAGGATTAAAGGTGTGTGTCACGATGCTTGGCTCCGCAACTTAGTTTTTTTAAATAGGTAAAATTAACCCAGGTCACATGGGAACCTTACCTAGAAGCAGGAACTCTGCTGACACACATTCCACTTCACAGCAACCACACCATGGGATGGACAAGGTAACATTTTAAAAAATCAAGTGAGAAATAACACAAAAGGACATTTTCTCAAGGTAAAGAATCTGATTCTTAATGATAGACATAAACTGTTTTTAGGTTCACAGGTAGGTGTAACCTAGAATTTGATTCTGTGCATCACTCTTAGAGTCAATTGTACAGATTTTTCAGCGCAGTCTAGTATTTTATGTTAGTATATCTAATTTCCTTAAAAAAATAAAAAAACCTAATCGCGAGCCTTGGCAATCAGCCAAGAGTTGGAGTAAACAGCACAAGGTTTGGCAGCCAGCCAGGGCGCCATCTGGCTGACTCAGCTGTGCTCGCTTCCCACACCTACCCAAACCAACCCAAGTAGTATTTCCCTCATTAACTTTTTCCCTTTATTAACCCACCTACTCCAAGTATGGTTATGGAATCCTGAGACTGACAGGCCTAATGATGTGGGGAAAATTCTTGGTTGCTCACATTGCTATGGAGCATTAATTAAGGTCCGAGTAAACCCTAATGGAGATTTGTGACACACAGCTTTCTGAAATGTGAAAAACAGACTTAAGGCAGGTGGTATGTTAGAATGGTAACTGGCAGTAGTTCGCAGTAAACCTAACTTTCTATTGGTTTCATAGTCTCAAGAACTAATCGACAGACATCAGCTCAGGGTGGAGAATCTGCCTGGGCAGACCACATGGAGGCAGTTCTCTTGTGGATCCACAGGAGGAAAAGAACTTTTGGTGCCATGTGGCTAGCACTCACCCCAAGCAAAATGTCCAGTCCTCTCCAACGTGTGCCTGAGAAAAGGTAGAAAAGCCTCCTTAGGAGTAAAGACTACAAGGAAGCCACGCGCTCACTCCAGAGGTCTGAGAATGGCATGGGAAAGGACTACACATGCTGATTAAGAAGCTTTTTTTTTCCTCAAGCTAGAACAATCTGTCATGTACACATCACAGAAAAATCATCCCTCAAAAAATCATGCAGAAAAATTATAGAAAAAAAATACACATTGAAAGTAGGCAAAAATAGGATTTGTTAAAAATATGCAAAATTTTACTAAGAACTCCTCCATTTGTATTTAATACTTATTTCATATTAACCAGATTGAAATACTCTGATCTCTATTTTAGAACATCTCTTTTAAAAAAATATCTATTTCTGAGCTATAAGCCACGTATCTGTATGGCCATGTGTAGGCGCTCCTGCCACTTTTCATGTTTTCTGGACCTCACAACTAAAATATGGATTTCAGACATGGATAGCAGCAGGGCGGGAGGACCCACATAACACGGCCACGAATTCCTCAGAGTCCTAGAACTGAACGATATACAGACTGCCTTAACTTTTCTTGGCTCTAACTCTGTAATGGACTCTACACTTGTTAACTGTGCCCTTTTGTGTGTTCTAAACAGACATGCCGACTTTGCCATCTATGCTTTGCAAGAGAGCAGGCAATTCCAGCACAGAGGAAACCACATAGTGGGGAACTGGGGATGATGTCAGCGGCACCCTTCCGCTCTTGTTTATCCAGATTGTGGCTTTCAGTCCTGCATTGAGGCCTCCTTGTATATCGGTTTCTAGTGTGTCACCAACCATCACGCAGTCCCCAGGCTGTACTCCAAGGAGATTACAGCAGTGGTAAAATATGGAAGGTGCTGGTTTCTCCTCTTTCTGCTCTCCTCCTACAACGATAGCATCAAAGTAGGCCTGGCAGGCACAAGCCTCGATCTTCTCTCTCTGTGTCTGTCTGTCACCGTTTGTTAACAAGAGTAGGCGGACCTCCTTACGAAGTTGGGTGAGCATGGCTTTGACATCTTCTGCTAGGGTCATATGCTGTAAACGTGTTGATTTCCACAGGAAATAACATTCTTTGGCTAATTTCCTATTCTGTGCACCACCTTTTGTTTCCTGGATTGCTTCTTCCCAGTGTGAAGTCCTCACATCTGTAATGCATGTGCTGTAAGGATGGGAACACTCCTTGCTGAGTTTAACTTGAACTTTATCACAGATGATTTCAGCCTCTTCTTTGTAATGGTATTTCGATTGTAAGAGCTTTATTACCTAAGCAGAGGAAAATAATTTAGTTAACACCTCGTCTTTAACAAGTCAGGCATTCAGAAGCAAGGACTCCGAAAACAGCTCCCATTACCACACCATTGCTGGTCTTAAGTTTTAGAGACACCATATTGAAAAACTGCCAACCTCTGGAGACAACCTACTCATAAATTCATCTACACATACACACTTTTTAAAAACCAACATCTACCCTAAGATGATTCTTTATACAGAGTCAAAACAAATCTCCATTTATTTGGTAGTCTACCATGTTTCATACTGGTCATGAAGACATGAAAATAAAACTTTTGCTTAAATCTAGTGAAACATCATAATTTTTGAAAAACATTATTTATATTTTTCCCAGGAAAAAAATAATGCCAGTTCCCCCGTCTTGTGCATGTTAGGGAAGCACTCTACAGAGTCCCAGCCCTCTTACTATGAGCCCTGTTATCTATTTGGCTCATCTTTTAACATTTCCTAAGACCCTAATATGGTGAACATCATGGCTAAATACTTACATTCTTTTTAACATTTGCTGCAACTCCCTTTTCAAAGATAAGGCAGTGTACTTTGCCCGAGCTGGGATTTGAATCCATACTTTCATGCTGGTCCCTACACTATGCACTGGGCCCTAGAGAATGGGTCCCCTATCCTTGGGGCATCCTCTCACAGGAAAAGGAAGCAGATGCAACTAATACAGGTGCTGGGCTGAGTGTCACGACAGTTGAGTGGGAGAACGATGGAGATAAAACTGAAATCATCTCAAGTATTTGGATAGGGCTTGGCAGAGGAGTCATACCTGAACCAAGGAAGCAGAAAATGTGGGGATGGGAGGAGGACCAAAACATTCTACACAGGAGGAGAGTGTGGAATTCTGACCTAGAAAAGGCAAGCTGAGTTGAGCCAAAATGAAGGCAGGTGAGAGAGAGGCAAGGAGATGCTGGAGGGGCCTTGAACAGATGTTGCCTATTCCCCAGTATTCCCGCGTACATCCATCATTTCATCCTGTAAGTCCAAGTCTTCTCTGCTTGCACGTTTATCCACAGAAGCATCCATGTACATGGACTGGGGCCGAAGTATTGCCCGGGGAACAGCATTCAACCAAGAGGCAGAAACTGTGGATAAGCATCACAACTTCATTACTTCTTGGAGGGGACGACTAAAGCATGCTCTGCTGTGCCATCCCAGACTGGTGTCTCATACCAACAGTCACCTGATCATTGATACATGGGTATTAGATCTTTCCTACCTTTCTTATTACCCATATCCTTTCTAGGATCACCTCCCAACGAACTATGCTGAAGTCCCTGTCTGAAGGTGTGCCTCCAAAGAAAGTCAGCCATACCAAGGCAACTCTGGATCTTCAGAGTGCAAGGCATTCTGCTGCCTGGAGATGCTGCTCAGTGGTAGAACACGGGCCTAGCATGTATGAGGCCCTTTCCAGCACTACCTTCAAAAAAGTGTCTGTTGAAGCAAAGCAGTCTAACAAGTAAAAACGTGTTGCTCTAAATGACATAGGGAACAAATGGTATACTACTCACACCAGAAACTCTACTGAAAAGGAGCAAGGTATTAATAAAACATAGACTCTTTTTCCTAAGAGTGAAAGAACCCCTTTAACAGGAAAAGGGAGTATTTTTTCAGGCTGCTTGTGTTAATCAGCTATCTCACTCTGTAGCTCAGGCTGGCCTTGAACTTACAGCAATCGCCCTGCCTCAGTTTCCAAGTGATGAAGAAAAGTTGTAACTGTCTCAAGAGAAATATACCATCTTTAGGAATTTTAGGTAAAGGTAAGACACTGAAAATAGCTTTTTCAACTCCACGGTTCTATCATCTTTTTTTGGCAATATGTACCCAATTATTCTTCAGCTATAAGCAAAGAGCACTCTCAAGTTTCAGCAGCTCACTGCTCCACAGTAAAGTGACACAGGCCTCTAGGGCCCCACAAGCTAGAGAAGAGGGTTGGTCAATAGAGGATAGGTCACTGCAGTTGGCAGCACAGTAACTGCATGCCTGGAGCTCTGCAAATGCTGGGTCAATGCGCCTTTGAAAACATGGCATACTCTTCCCCAAGTTCCAAAACCTCTCCTGATTACACTCCTTTAATTAACTTTCCCAAGCTGCATACCATTATGGTCACACAGCAACCAATCATAGATTTATTATAGTAGCATTTTAATAATAAGATCTTGGGGTGGTAGCTCAGCAAGCAAAGCACTTGCCCTGCAAGCACAGACCTGAGTTCAATCCCTAGAGCTCACACAAAAATGATGAATGTGGTGATGCATGCTTGCGATCTCAGTGCTGGAGGAAACTGAGACAGGAGAATCCCTGAGGCTCACTAGACAGTCTAATTAGTGAGCTTCAGTTCAAGATGAAACCCTGTCACAAAGGATGGAATTCCCGAGGATGACACCCAAGGTTGTCTTCCAGCCTCCACATGGATAAAAATGATTAACATCTCAAGCCAGGTGTGATAGTGCACACCTTTAATCACAGCACTCAGGAGGCAGAGGCAGGCAGATCTCTGTGAGATTGAGGCTAATCTGATCTACACAGTAGTTCCAGGTCAGCTGGGGCTGCAGGGAAACCCTGCCTCAAAAACAGAACAACATTTAACATCTCTAGATGTTTATTAGTTCAAACAGAAATGCCATCTAGGGTAAGATTAATTGCACATTAATTACCAACTCTTCTAGCCTCTTTGAGAATGGGCATTTGTGCTGAATTGGAAGTGGAGGACAAAGTCCTCTAAATTGGGAGTTGTGAGGACATTTTATACTTGGGGTAAGACAGGCTTGGAAAGGATGGATGCAGTAAGTGCCTCAGAAACTGCAGGGCTGAACACAGGGGTGCTATAGTAAAAAAGTATCAGTCTAGATTAAGATACACCTCATTCACTTCAAAACTCCAACACTCTCAACATATATAAAAAGGTAGCTTTTTTCCTACTTTCTACTCCCTGGACCAGGACTAAAGTTACTGTCACGAACACCAGGGTTAAACGAACAGTGGTTTTTTTTTTTTTGGGCTTTTTGGGACAGGGTCTCCCTTTTTGTGTGTGTGTGTGTGTGTGTGTGTGTGTGTGTGTGTGTGTGTTTGAGGTGAAAGTCAGAGGACAACTTGCAGGAATCAGCTCTCTTCTACCATGTAGGATCCAGGAACTGAACTCAGGCTTAGCAGCAAGCAGTCTTACCTGCTGAGTTTGTGTGTGTGTGTGTGTGTGTGTGTGTGTGTGTGTGTGTGTGTGTTTGAGGTGAAAGTCAGAGGACAACTTGCAGGAATCAGCTCTCTCCTACCATGTAGGACCCAGGAACTGAACTCAGGCTTAGCAGCAACACTCTTACTTGCTGTGTTTTTTTAATGTTGTATGAGTGTATTGCCTGCATGTATGTAAGTGTATCCATGTCATGCTATGCCCATGGAGGTCAGAAGAGGGCATCGGATTCTCCTGGAACTAGAGTTAAGGACGGTTCTTAGCCACCAGGTGAGTACTGGGAATTGAACCTGGGTCCTCTGCAAGAGCAGTCAGTGCTCTTAACTGCTGAGCCATCTCTCCAGCCCCTCCCAAATGACTTTTTTTTAAAAAGCAGGGTTAAAATACAACCAGGATATGACTCCCTCTCAAGGCAAAGTTCAGACCTTTCCCTATAGTCCTTAATGAACCATTCAAAATGTTTTTTGACAGCCTACACATTAGTTTGGACTAGGTATTTCTAAGGGATGTGCATCCTTACATGATAAAGCATTCACATTTAATTTTGCTCATTCCACAGGCTATTTATAAATGTGGCACAAGAATGGAGACTTTAGATCAAAATTGTGTCCAGCCATCTTCTAGTCATTGACCATGTGTCAAACAAAGATAGTAAGACAGCATAGTCCCTTTCAGGGACTCATGATTAAGTTGTACATGTGAGGTGCAAAAAAATAATAACATTCTCTGATGGGTGCAGTAAGAGATATTCAGAAAAAATATGATGTAAAGACCAGGGAGAAATACAGTATGGGTTTTGGCTTTTTTAAAAATTTTATTTTGAGATGGGGGGGCAATGTCCTTACTAAGTTGCCTAGATTGGTTTCAAACTCCTGGGTTCAAGGAATGCTCTTCCCTCAGACTCCCACATTTTTGCTTAAAAAAAAAAAATCTCATTGTGGAGAGGTATGGTGGCACATGCCTTTAATTCCAGCAGAGGAGACAGATCTCTGTGACACTGAGGCTAGTCTGGTTTACATAGCGGGTTACAGGAGAGCTGGGACTATAGGGAAACCCTGTCTCAAAAAGATCAAACAAACAAACCCAAAGCAAAACAAAACAAACCTCCCTGTGGCAGGAGTGTGGAGGATGGATGAATTGGATGTGGCCAGCCTGGGGACAAGACCACAACAGTCTACTAAAAGCCTAGCTGTAACTAAGACAAGAGTAAGGAGGACTAGGGGGCAGAGTGGACCGGGAGTTAGTTCACTGAGTGAAGACTGGAGGCTACATTCCCATATATTGTGTTAAAAGTACCTGATAGTTTTGTTTTAAGGCTACACATAGAGAACTTGTTGAGGCATTTGGTATTGAGAGCGCTGTGATTGAAATTAAACATCTGGTTTTAGAGGCAGATCTCTTGCTCTACAGCAAGAACTGGCCTAGAACAAAAACTGAATTTCAACTCACTGGGCTTAGTTTGATAAGAACCCGGGAAAATATGCACTGTCTGCAGCTACAGATAACGGAGACAGAATGGCAGAGGTGCCTGTAAGGGTGCCAAGACGCAAGAGACCATCTACAGTGTGAAAAGCCGCAGCTGAGGCTCAGGAGATAGAGTCAAAGCATTGGGGGCTGTAGCTCAGTGGCAGAACCCTTGTTCAGGATAGCAGGGCCCTAGGTTCAAACTCCATCATCAAGGAAAAAAAAGGCAATTCAAAACGCTCAGTGTCTTTGGCACTTTGAAACCTGACAACCTGGCAAGTCTACCACATTCCAGTGGTGGAGGGAGAAGCTACCTTGCACT